GTTTAAACATCTTTGAATTACAGATTAAATAAAAGACTAAAGTAGCCTAAAATTCTGAACCCAGTCCATCTTCACGTGTTGCAAAGAAGATTAAGCCTTGGTCCAAATTCTTCTTAGTTTAGCTTCAGTGTTGCAAATAGATTTACAAATACCAAATAGCGTGTCCTTTCAGAAAATATATTATCTCCTGAAAATAGCTAGATAGCTACACTGGAAAACTAGAAAGCATTATTTTAGTAAAGTACATTACTAACTGACTGACTCTACCAGTGACCAGGATTTCAATTTTCAGCCAGAATGAAGTGCTTTTCATACATATATGATCTATATGCCAACTTTAGAGATTAGATTTACTCATAACTTTTCAGGTGTCAATGGCAAAAAGAGGTCTCTGTTACAAGAGTGTTCTCATGCTCTTTCTGATGAATCTGCATGAGTTATTCTGCTTTTATTTATATTCAAATAGAAATTCAGACTGAAAATTTTGAAATCCAGATGTTAAGCAAAACTAGATTTTTTTCCTACCTCCTCCCACAACCAAATGTAGAGTTATCAGGGTCATCGAATCTCGATGGGACAATTAATCATTCACTGCGGGACAAGCTTCTTAAATACAGTGCCAGAATGTGATTTCTCTTCCTCAGTTGTGGCTACTTCTTGTGATCTTTATCAAGTCAAGATCTTCAGCCAGCTTTAGTCACGCACCAAGATGTGTGCACCAGGGAGCACTGAGCTCCTGAGATCATCAGTGCAAACAAATACAGAAACATACTCTATGGCAGTGATGCTCCAATAAAGGAGACGTTTAATTTGAATGTCTAAGGATAGATGGAAAAAAGCCAGGCTGCAGTGCAAACATCAGCTGCCGGAGTGATTGCACTTCCTTACCAGTAAATAAACAAGGGGAGATAGGTTGGTCATACTTCTAAAAGCTTTGGATATCTGAAGTTGCAGAGAGGAGATCTGTTTTTACATGGATCTGAGAGTCCATGTACGTAACTGGAAATTCAGGACTTGGACATGTTTGAAAATGCCAGTGGTCACCTAAGGATCCTAAACTTTCCTTGTAATCATGCAAGTAGTTCCAGTTGTTTCCATCTGACATTTTGAGTTCAACCGTACTGAGTTCAACTGAAGATGCTGTCAATTCCAGCTGAGTTTCAATGGCACATAAATGCCTTACAGCCTGCAAGTGATAGCCTATACCAAGACTTGGACTGTTACTGCAGGTGGTGTGAAACAGTAGCCATGGTTTGCTTCTTTTAAGTCACTGATAGTTTTTTATTGTATCTGTAAGAAATATTAAAAGATTTAGACTCAGGAGAAAACCATCATTATCTGGTTTTGTTGAGTACTACCTAAAAGTAATCACTTGGTTTGTTCCACCTGTGTATCTGCACTGAACTCTTTATTTCCGTCTCTTGTGATTAGATTCTGCTGGCTTTGACAGGAATCTGAAATCTGAAAAAGTGCCTTTCTGGCACTTGTTGTTTACCAGTGCTGAGCCAGTTATGTCAAGAGAGCAGGGGAGAGAAATCTGATAGGAATGTTAACACTGGTGGGAATGGCAGTGGGTGGACCATCAAAGAAAAACACTCAAGACACAGCTCACCTCCTTGGCAAACCAAACAATTTGCCAGTGTCACCCCTGCCGTGGTTAAATGACTAGAGTGAAAATTTATGGGGAAAGGAATGGTTCTCCTGCTGTAATTATACAAACCCTCTCAACAGTGTTACATTCTACAAAGTCACAGTTGATAAATAATAAGCTACACAAACAGTGCTTCATGTTCATTTATTAAAATAATCTATTATCCTTCTTAGCTGTAGATCTACTTTGTTGAGAGTTGTTACATATTTATATTGCTAACATCTCAATCTCCAAATAGTATTAATTGGATTGTTTTTGCAAGAGTGTGCTTTAGGGTCTAGGTTGCAGAGAAGGTTGGCTTTGAGAAGCAGGGGGCCTGGGTTTGGGGACAGGCAATGTCATGGTGGGACAGCAGTCTGAGCAAGTGTGGGGTCCCAAAATGCTACTAACAGTGGGTGCTGCGTTTATCCCTTACCTCCACAGCGTAGCAGGGATGGAGATGGGGGAGGAAGGCTGCTTTTCTCCTCTATTGCCCCCCTCCAGGAGCACTCATTTCTCTCAAGGTGGGAGCCAGTGCAGGGACAGACCGTTCTGGGGTAAAAGACCGGAGCACTGTGAAGAGGGAAAAGACAAGGAGTTTCCATAACATCTTGCAGTGCAGCCCCTACCCGGGGGGATGTCCCCAGCACAGATTCCACCCTGACCCTCCACAGCATCATCAGCTGAGGAACAGGGTTTCTAAGAGCACAGTAAGAGCTCTGTCCACAGATCCCCGCTCTTGTGTCCCAGGATTTACCAGTAGTGTGATAAATCACACAGACCCAAATAATTGCTTCTAGTGCCTGAATTAATTGGGCTATAAGTATGGCAAATGCTAAAAAGTCCTTTACATGCAATCTCCTAGTGTAAAGAGAGCGTCTGATGGGAACATGCCTCTGCTCTCAGGTTTGGATCTGTTAGGAGTTGCTTTCTTTAACAAAGCAAATATTTGGTGACAGAACTTGATGTAGAAAGTGCTGCATAGCTGGAAAGTGTGAAGTGTTCATAATGATATGAAACACTACTCAACATTTGATGTTTTTCACATTCCATTGCAAGCTTAAACATTGGACTTCTGTCACAGAAATTTCTGCTGCAGTAGACACAATTTCTAGCATAAATGGGCTTGCTTTCAATAGAAAATGGGACAGTTTTCAAAGGAAAAAAGGCCAATTTGTGAGTAAAAATGGTCTTCTTTCTGAGCAGAGGCTTATAAACATGAAGTGATAAATGGCTTTGCAAGTTTTCCATACAATAATAACAACTTCCTAATCAAAATAATGAAAAAGTTGCATCCAGGGGAGGGGAGAGAAGCTCCATTCAGATTTAAATGCATTCAAAACATTTTAGAAAATAAATATATGAAAACTGTAGGTTTTGTTCCACTCTATAATCTGAATTTATGTTGGAGACATGTCAGTAATATTTCTTTGCGTATATTTATATGATGTTATAAATCAAACTCCTGTTCTGGGTTCGCTGCCTTCTGAGATTAATTTCATGCAATAATGTTGGAAGACTCAAGGAAATACATTTTTTAGGATCCCCTAAGTAGCAGTGGCATCTGATTTTTTTAGCATTCCATATGTTTTTAGAACTAAATATATCTTCCAGCTTGATTTATTGGTTTTACGTGCAAATATATTGGTTCATAATAGCTGATCTGATGAGCAACTGATACAGTTTCTTCTCTCATGTGCTAAAAATGCTTTAAGATCTAAGTACTAAGGAGTTGGGATCTCCTCCTTACCTGTGCTCCAAGAAAGGTGTTGTGACGTCCCCAGGAAAATGTATCATGCAAAATGCACTATTTAATGAACGCTTCCAAAATGCTTAGCCACAGAGAAGATTGTGTGGCATGAGAGGTTGCTTTGCTAAGATGGAGATGAGAAATCAGTCTTTTAAAATGTTAAATGGTGAGATACAGGCTGGGGGATGAATGGATTGGGAGCAGCCCTGCAGAGAAGGACTTGGGGGTACTGGTGGATGAAAAGCTGGACGTGAGCTTGTCATAACTGTTCTGTGCTATACAGAGTCTCACACCAGTTGCCTCCCTGCATGTTAATTCTCCAGAAAAGTGTTAGATGAAGGACACAGAATGGGTGATGTCAAAGGCATGTAGCCTTGGTTCTTGTAAAACCAATTGTCTGGTAGAGCTGGTCTGAGGTTAAGAAGCCCTCTAGCAGTGGTGCCTCAGCCCCTTTCTGGCATTGTTATGTCACTTTGCCCCTGAGATCCAGACTTAGTTTCCAAGGAATGTTTGAAAAAACATTCCTAAGTGCATGTGATATCCTTACCATGTATTTTTAAAGGTGACTGCAGCACTTTCCCATCTGTGTCCTCCATTGATGATGCAGCACATATGGTCTTTGGGCAGATGGTTCCATATAAGGCAGCCATACAAATGGGGAAAATACTCATTTTAATTAGATGCCCAGTTTTGTCTCCAGTGAAATCCGTGTCAAAATTCTCTATGAGGAGCAGGTTCTGATGCTGGTAATAGCCCCCTTTGATAGGATGTATTACTACCATTGTCCAGCTTGCAAACAGATGTGCTTTCATGCCTGATGTGAGAGAAGTGAATTAGAAATGCTGTCACGTTCCCATTGCAGAACGGTGGCCACAAATTTCTTTTTCCAAGTTATGGCTGTCTTTTGGGGGAGGGTTTGCATGAAATTAAGGATGGCTTTTGCTATGGTCCTATGCTGTATGGTTCTATGATAGGTAGGCAGTCAGATAAGTAACCATGACATAGTAATTGGATATTATAGATGTAAATCGTTAATGTTACTATACACGTTTGCTTTGTGCAATAACTGGTGGGTTTTGCCAATTTTAGAAACTGCTTTCTTGTTTCTTACAGTGAAGCAAACTTAGATTACTATTCTAAATGCTAATACACAGAATGAATGTGATTTAATAAAATAAAGTGAATTTATATGTAGATTGTGACATTAGTATTTAATTATGTACCTATCATAATACTGATGAAGCAAGCTGCTAAATATTGGTGCACTGAAGTGAGATTTTCCTCTTAAAGAGCAGCTATATATTAATTTCTCTCCTCTTTCCTAATCTCCTTAAATAACAGGATAGATTATGTACTGTTTACCAATGTTCACCTGTATTCCTTCATACTGGATTTCAAATAAGGTTTCTATTGTAGCAGCTGAAGTTCATAGAAGGATGTGCTGTTTTGGTAAAACACTGTGGTAACAGATCTGTTTCTATACTATGTTTTATCAGGCCAAATTGAGTTTTAGATTTTCTTAATTTATTCTGTTAATGTGAATTAAAAGTAGTATGCAATCAGTTGTGGGTTGTTGTTTGTTTGTTTGTTTTAAATTTTCATTTTCTGTTATTTTTTCAGACTATGGAAACCCCAAAATACGAGCTAGTTATAGAAGCTAAGGATATGGGCGGTCTTGATGTGGGACTAACTGGCACAGCAACTGCCACTATTCTTATTGATGACAAAAATGACCATCCACCAGAATTTACCAAGAAGGAGGTAAGAGTTTGCCATCTGTGTTCTACAAAATGGTGCATGTACTTGTTTCTAAATATAAAAATGTTCCTTAATGGAAGAAAATACTTAAAGGCATCTTTTTAGCTTGATGAGACAGACTTTTCTGGAGCTGCTATTTTCTTCTTCTACATTAATAAATTTGTATGCATCCTTTCCAAAACAAAATGCAACCAGAAGGTAAAAATTATGTCAAGAGATATCATTCAGAAGTTAGCTAGCAGGATGAAAACCTGTAAAATGACTTTGCTAGTGGTAACGTTCTACTTTTGCTCATATGGAAGAAAATAGATAATTTGCTCCTGCCTGTGTTCTATTTTAGGGCTTTTGATGGTCAGAAACATGGATGAAAGCAACATGTTTTGTCCTAGCTTCAGTAATTCACCTGTGAGACAGCTAGTGTTGAGAGTTCTGTAACGACAGCTCTAGTCCTAAAAGCTTTAAATTTAACCTGTAGGTGGAATTTGCAAGGAAAGTTTTTTCCCTGTAAGATGAATTCAAGATTGCTGCTATCCTCCTTCTCTCTAAAGATATTTTCTCTCAATGCCTTTATCCCTTTTATAAAACAAATGCTTACTTACTGGCCTGTTTTTTCTTCTGTTAGTATAATTTCTACCTAAAATAGCTCTGCTTTTATTTGTCATATGCTGTTGATGCAGCTACATTAAGTCAAATTTTCAATGCGTTCTCTTCATCTGTAAGCACAGGGGCCAAATTCCTTATCTGACATGGTAAAAGGCAATGAATTTATGAGAGCTGGACTTGTACCCCAGACTGTGCACTAAATGGTGTTTTATAGAATGTAGAATGCATCGTTATATATATTAATAAAGCTATATATGATTTCAATAATATTTACTGTGCAAAGCATTTGACAGTCCTGCACAACATCCTTGTTTCTAATTTGAGAGACGTGGATTTGACAGATGGACCGCTTGGTGGATAAGGAATTGGCTGAACAGCCAGAGGTGTGGCCAATGGCTTGATGTCCAAGTGGAGACCTGTGAAGAGTGTTGTTCTTCAGGGGTCGGTACTGGGACCGGTGTTAAGTTTAATATCTTTATAAGTGACATGGACAGTGGGATTGAATGCACCCTCAGCAAGTTTGCCAATGACACCAAGCTGTGTGGTGCAGTTGACACACTGGAGGGAAGAGGTGCCATGGAGAGGGACCTGGACAGGCCGGGCCCGTTTGAACCTCATGAAGTTCAATAAGGCCAAGTGCAGGATCCTGGGTTGGATCCTGGACCCAACCCCTGGGTTGGGACAATCCCAAGCACAAATACAAGCTGGGCATAGAACAGATTGAGAGGAGCCCTGAGGAGAAGGGCTTGAGGGTGTTGGCTGATGAAACATGACCTGGGAGTGTGCACTCACAGCCCAGAAAGCCAACCTATCCTGTGCTGCATCAAAAACGGTGTGTCCTGCAAGTTGAGGGAGGTGACTCTGTTCCTCTGCTCCTCTCTGGTGAGACCCCGCCTGGAGTACTTCATCCAGCTCTGTTGTCCTCAAGCACAGAACAGAAATGGACTTGTTGGAATGGGTCCAGAGGAGAGCCACAAAGATGCTGATGAAACATGACCTGGGAGTGTGCACTCACAGCCCAGAAAGCCAACCTATCCTGTGCTGCATCAAAAACGGTGTGTCCTGCAAGTTGAGGGAGGTGACTCTGTTCCTCTGCTCCTCTCTGGTGAGACCCCGCCTGGAGTACTTCATCCAGCTCTGTTGTCCTCAAGCACAGAACAGAAATGGACTTGTTGGAATGGGTCCAGAGGAGAGCCACAAAGATGATCAGAGGGCTGGAGCAACAATCCTGTGAAGACAGGCTGAGAGAGTTGGAGTTGTTCAACCTGGAGAAAAGAAGGCTCCAGGGAGACCTTATAGCAGCTTTCCAGTACCTAAAGGGGGCCTACAGGAAAGATGAGGAAGGACTCTTTATCAGGGAATGGAGTGATAGGATGAGGGGTAATGGCTTTAAACTGAAAGTGGGGAGATTTAGATTAGATATTAGGAAGAAATTCTTTACTGTGTGGATGGTGAGACACTGGCGCAGGTTGCCCAGAGAGGCTATGGATGCCCCATCCCTGGAGGTGTTCAAGGCCAGGCTGGACAGGGCTTTGAGCAGCCTTGTCTAGTGGAAGGTGTACCTGCCCATGGCAGGTGCCTTGGAAAAAGATGATCTTTAAGGTCTCTTCCAACTCAAATGATTCTGTGAATGCTGAGGGAGAAGGTTAATGATTTTTCATAGCTTTCTCCAAATTTGAAAATTTCTATATATTTCTATTTCCAAGAAGTCTTACATGTCTTAAGAGATATTTCTTTGAGTCTTCAGAGCAAGGCAATGTTAGTCATGACGAGCGTGTCTCTGTCCATTGCAGATTAGTTTTATCTTTTGATACTTCAGCAACCTCTTCCTCTTTTTTTCTCTGGAAATAAATTTATGGATCTACGCCTAAGCAATGGGGTATTCCTATTTGCTGTATCTATTCCTTGGAAGTCAGGTCCTAACACAACTACTCTAAACGCTCATTAACGATCTTTACTTGATGTTTTCAGAGTGGTCTAAATGCTCCTTTGTTGCTGTACGCAGTTTTGCAGTAGCCTCTACTGGGTTTATGTAGATCTTGCTGAAAGAGGAAGTATTTATCTCGTGGATCTATTGTTTCTTCTGCTATTTTTTCCCCCTGCCTACCACACCCGTGCCATTCTGATGCAGTTGTGGCCTTTGTGCTTAGGGAAATATTCACTGATGGTGTGTCAGAGCATAATCAGAGAAGAAGCTGAGCAAGGCTGGCTGTGATCCAACATAGCACTTCCATTAACTTCAGAGGAATAGTTTAAGCCCTTGAGGTTATAAGTATGTGTCATGTACTTTGATGGGTTAATGTATGAGACGCTGCTTTGTGGGATTCAGCCCAGTTAATTATTTTGTTACTACCCCATCACTCTACACACCTCCCAAATACCTGCTTTGTTCTTTTTCACATCTATACTTACCCTTACTGTTCATAATAGGCTCTGAGCAGTGCAAAAATCCATTCAGACATGCAAACAGTACCCTGTTCCCTTCGGGGGTTTAAGTAATTTCATCTTTAATGCCTAAAAGAGTAATGTTTTAAGAGCTCCTCAAAAAATCCCAGGTGAGGTAACAAGGTCTACCTTTTAAAAGGTCACAATGGCTGGGATATTGTGCCAGATTTAAATTATAGAGAATGAAAATAGAGATACTTGTAAAGTTAGTGGCCTCTTTTTCAGGAATTTTTTAAAATTTATAGCCCTATTTCTAGCATATTAAAAAGTTTTTAAATAATTTTTGTGAATTACAACTGAATACAATGTGTAGTTTGTATGACAAAGAGCAAATTGGCATTTCCTTTCAGCAAGTTAAAGGCTTAGGCTCAACTTTTGTTCAGCAGCAAGGGATTACTTATGTGAAAGTAAGAAATGAAGCAAAGCAAGGAGCAGGAATTGATCATTCTGGAAAATCTAATACCCGATTTGTGTGCTGCAGGATACTCAAATTGTGTGGGAATGAGTTAAACTGGGTGAATGCTAATGGTGTTGAGTGTTGGTTTTATACCTAGCATGTTAAGAAAAATGAGAATTATTTTCTTGTGTCACTTTAACAATTGGGGACAGACAACTGTAGTGTTGTATGAATGCAAAGCAGTGATTTTAGTCTACAGTTATTGTCACCGCAGTTCAAGTGTGGTGAAAAACTAGTAACATAACATCTGCTGGAAGCCACAAGCTGGCAAATACTTTCCTGTATCTGTTCCTGTAGGCATGGTTCTGCCCAGACCTTCCCTAAGACTCAGAGGAGGAAAAAACGTTGTTTTAATATGACAGCAGTATGGATTTCACCCCTTCCTGTTTATTCTTCCTCTGCCAAAAAATAGTACAACAAATCTTACTTCTGGTCTTATACCATTACTGAATGCTCAAAAATGGGATTCCACTGAGTATTTTTGCCTACCTTCTGACTTCTCTTCTGATTTTTTTTTTAAGTATCTGTTGCCAAAGTAGAAGCTTCCATTGCTGCTCTTTATTTTTCCTTAATATCGGATATATTGTCTTTCCTTAGTAGATGCAACCAAGTGCTTAAGAGAAGAATGCAGTGCTGTGGCTTAAGTAATACTTTATTTTTCCTGAATATCGGATATATTGTCTTTCCTTAGTAGATGCAACCAAGTGCTTAAGAGAAGAATGCAGTGCTGTGGCTTAAGGGGATGATTTTTCTACAGTCCACCTAGTTCTCATATCTGTCCTTCACCTCAGATTTGGGACAGCAGCATATCCCTAGTCATACATTGAAAAGTAGTGGGACTTGTCAAAGTCACTTGCTCATTAGAAGGAGACTTCATTTGGCCAGGGAACAATCTCATGCTGTCACTTGCTCATTAGAAAGAGACTTCATTTGGCCAGGGAACAATCTCATTCTTGAGAGAGTTCTTCTTTTTGCCACTTCCATCCTCACCTTCAACTTCATCCATTTCTGGGACAAAGTAATGCAAAATAGGAAGAATTCTGTCACCTCAGAAGAGTAGGACTTTGGAAAATATTTTTCCTAGTTTATATTTTAGGAATATATTATCTTAGAAATGAATTTACCAGTTATATAAAGAAGCTTGCCTCCTGTGAACAGAAGAAAATTTGTGTAATTTGAAAAAACATCACTAGAGTGAAATTTGAGACATACTAGTGCTGAGTCTTAAGTGAAAAATATGATTTGCTCACATTTTGAATATCTTCTGATAAATGGTTTATAAAAGAGTAATAAATGACTAATGTGTGCTTTAATAAATGATTCATCAATTCCTATAGAGACCTGTAAGTGTATAGGTTGCTTGTCACCGTGATTTATGATGACTTCCAGCACTGTCTTCTGATTCAGTTGTGCTACCCACTGGGGTAAAACAGCCCCTGGAGTACAATATGTATCTCAGTCTGCTCATGGTTCAAAGAGGATATGAGACTTTCAGAGC